TTTAAAAAAATATGTGTGACTCTCCATGTCCCAATTTATGTGGCACATGTAAAGTTTTGACAATTAACCAAAATTTTAATACATTTAAAAAAATATTTTTAAGTCGTTAAATTTTAAGTAATTTAGATTGTTGTATTATTTATTACAATTTATAATACTTTTAAAGTAGTTGAAATATTGTACTATTTATGATTTATAACACTTTTTTTAAAAAATTTATGTCATATTATGGAATTTGAGAAGTTATTGAAATTTTTATATGATTTTAAAAATATTTTAAATTGTTAGCTATTGTGATTTGTAGTACTTTTTTTTAACATAATTTTGAAAATAATATTTATTACTCTATTTGTTCTAATTTATGTGGCAGATGCAGAATTTCAAATATTAACCCTTTTTTATATGTCTCTTTAATATATTAAGTTGTTAATTACTGTATTTTATAGTACATTTTGAACCTAATTTTTTAATAATATATGTTATTTGTCATGTCCCAATTTATGTGGCATTAATTGATAGATTTGTTGGAGTTGAGAGATTTATTTTGTTAATTATTGTAATTTATAATTTATTTTTCGTCAATTTCGTCGACTATTTTTTTTATTAATTATTGTAATTTATTGTTTCTTTTTCGTCAATTTCAAACAATATATGCTTATCATATAATCCATTTTATGTGGTACCAATAGAATTTAGAGAGTCAATTAAATTTTTTATATAAGTTTTAAATAATTAAGCTGTTAATTATTGTAATGTATAGTATTACTTATAGTATTTTTAAATATATTTAAATATTATATGTTAGGTTTTTTATCCTAATTTGTATGGCATTGATAGAATTTAAAGTGTCAAATAATTGTTAATTATTGTAATAGATAATATGGAGTATTTAAGTCATTTATACTATAGTAATTAATATATAATATGTAGTATTTAAGTGGAAGGTGGTGGGTCCACTATATAGTTTGATAAATATATTGGATATTAGTAGTGATTTATAGTAGTGTAATTAATAATATATAATATGTAGTATTTAAGTGGAAGGTGATGGGGCCCACTTATATATTTTATAAATATATTGGACATTAGTAGTGATTTTATTGGAACATTGGTAGTCATTCCTAGACTCTTCTATAATATAGTAATGTTAGATCACAAGAAACACATTGCTCCTTTGGCCCCTTACATAAGAAAAGTATTTATTGTTTATTACCAAGTCAAGAATAAAAATAAAAGCCAACTCATCATCAATAAGAATGACTTGTTCCCTACATATTCATATTTTTGTTTTATACTTTCTTTTTTCCTACCAATGATAGTGTACGGATTAATTTACACGCATCTCAATTATTTAAATGAATATCGGTTATTTCTCATCAATACAATAATGTTCAATCATTTTGTCCACCAAAACTTAAACGTTGCATATGTTTCAGCATAATAAGTTACAAATAATCTTACGTAATAACCAAACATCAGTTCGTACTTAATCGTTTCTGCGTTTAATATTTTCAAAACGTTAATACATGCATAACATGTGTTTGCTAATAGACTAGTCAATTTTATTTTTATTTTTATTTTTATTTTTATTTTTATTTTTTTTATCAAAAATAAATATCAGATAACATTGTACATCAAAGTCTAGACACCCTACATACTCATGCATTTTAATATATATATATATAGAGAGAGAGAAGTCATTGTTGTTCAAATCAAATATAACTATAGATAGAGAAAACCCCTTTCCCCTCCCCAACCAAAAACCTCCCAAAAAAAAAATGGCTTCTATGGTTTTTACATCATCACCTTTTAGTGTTCAATCATTTGTCAAATTAAGAACAAACTCAAATTATCCACATCCTTCATGTTATGTACCTAGGGTAAAAAATTCTTATGAACATTTATCCTATAAGAATATTTCTCATATTGAGTCTTCCAAATCTTTATTTTTAAAGGGTGATAATAATTTCTCTATTTCATCACCAAAATTCCCAAGAGTTGCTTCAACATATTCTCCATCTTTGAATATTATTAAAGCAAGTAGAGATGTAAATATATATCATTACCCAGCATTTGAAGGAGTAAGAATTTTTATTGCTTTCAATAAATGTTAATGATTTAGAATATACAATATAATTTTCATTTATATAGTCGTAATTTTCAGTTGTTTTCTTCACTTCAGGTATTGTATTATTTGTTATTGTCACTTTATTTTTGTCATGACTTCTTTACTATTATTGTATTTTCTTTCAAGAGTGATGTCGATATCTTTATTTAAGTCAACACTACATCAATTTTATCTGTTATTAATTAATGACAATAGTTTAATTGCCTCTAAATATATTCTTTTAGCAGCAGTTAACACTCTTTGTAAATGTCTCTAAAGCCTATAGCGACATTGGATCCAATGACAATTAACTAATGCCAATAAAGGCTTTGTCACTCTTTGTTAATGTGCATATTTATTGTCGCTAAAAGTTTTTTTGTTGTAGTGCGAGGGTAAGCTAAGGTCGGATCTAGAGGAGGTGAGGGTGTTCACCCGAACTCCTTAAGTGAAAAATTATATTGTATATACAAGATATTTTTTATACAAAGTTTTTAGTGTGTATTCATAAATTTTGAATCCCCTAAATACAAGAGTAGAGGTCGAGTTAGTGGTTTAGGGGTTCAAAATTTACCTTGAGGTCCCAAATTTAAATTTCAGGCACTACCTTTTTATTTTTTGAACACACTTAATGAAAATCCTAGATCGACCACTGATCTAAGATCTATTGAAAATAACTTTTCTACCTTTATAAGATTTGTAGACATGTAGGGCAAGACTGCTTCAAACACACCACTCATCTCAAACCCCACATATAAAATTATACTGAGTATGTTATTATTGTTGTAGTAATGATGTTATTGCTATACTCCCTCAATCCCAATTTATTTAGCACTTTTCTTTTTTCGAAAATCAATTTAATCTTTAAATTAAAAATTAAATTAAATTTGATCGACTCAATATTTTGAATGTTTAAATATTGTACTAAAGAGTAATATGAATTGCATCTCTTCTCATGTCAATATGATGAAAAAAATTATATTTTAAAATATTAATCAAGATTTATTTTCTTTGAATATGAATAAACATAAACATAATATGTCATATAATTTAAAGCGGAAAGAGTAATATTTTATTTTAATACACTTTGTTAACTCTTTATTCTTTAAAAACTATTCTTTTTTTCTTTCAAGTGGATAAATATATTCAAGTTTTTCCTTTCTGCTAAATTTTGTGCCAAAATAGTTAAGATTATTTCATAATTATATTTATAACTAATCTGTTTGGATAAACAATTAGAAATGTATTAATTGTTTGTATTATTTTACAGGGAGCTAAAACAGGTTTTGAACTTGGGGACAGATACCGGGGATGTTTCTGCTAATTGTTAATATTCCTCAGATGGGGTATCTATCTCTAATTCATAATAAAAAAATAATTCCTCCGTTTGAATTTAGTTGTCTAATTTTAATTTGATATAACATTTTAAAAAATAATAATTTATAGGTGATAGTGACATGTCACAATAAATTTTAAAATGAGAAAAATATCAAAATAAATAAATAAATGTAATTAGAGGTGATAGTAATTTGTCACATCACCTTATCTATATATAGTTTTATATTATAAACAAATATATAGATTTTTTTGAATATTGATTCCACAGCTTTCAGTATGCACAAAGTTAGTAATTAATCATAAGAAAGTTTATATCCATTATTCATAGGAACTTATACTTTATCATTCCATTTATAATTATTTATTTAAAATTTTGATTTAATTATATTGATATTATTTTAAAAAATAATGTACTACATGATTTAGTGTTTTCTTTATTTATTATAAAAATAAACAATAAAATTAGGTGTTTTCTTTGTTTATTAAAAAAAATAAACAATAAAATAAGTAGCAACTTTCCTCCACGGGAATTAAATCATTGTTCTATAAACAATGTTATTTGTCTGAATATATGTATAATCAAATTATTCTATAAACAATGTTGTTTGTCTGAATATTTATTGTACGTTATAGCGAGATGTTATTCTAGCTAAAGAACATACTATATATATATATATATAATGAAATACTGTTATAAAAATTTGATTAAAGTTATATAATTTCATATTATTATTTTTTTTCATTGTTATATATATTCACAATTTTCCTTCCTTTTTTTAGTTCTAAATGGGTAGAAACGGAGATCAAGTTTCTCAATGATTTGCGTAAATTGTATGAAGGCAAAGTATCCTCCCCATTTAAGAAGGGTATATCATTTTTTTTACTTCTCTTTAATTATTGTTTCCTTCTATATATTTTTTCTTCGGAAAATAATATACTTTCAACTTACTTAGGACATGATTATATATAAAAAGTTATGGAGGTCGTGAATTAGGAGGATTGATTAGAGTATATATATGTTTTATCTTATTATATTAATAGTATTAGCATCAATCTTGCAGCCTCTAGTCCCTCAATTTCTGTTACTACATATGTTGTTTACTGTGTTTCGTTATTGTTTTATTTTATTATAGTTACTGTTTCTTTTCTTTGTATACTCTAGAATGTTTCCTTATTTTGCAATGTTTTCATTACTTCTATATGATATGTGCTGATTGAGTCGATAGTCTTTCAGTAACACAATCTCTTTATCTACCTCCGTGAGATTGAGGTAAAATACACGTACATTACATCATTTACAAGCCTCACTTATATAGAATTCTGATAGTCATACTCAATTAATAAAAACATATACTAATAAGCATTTAGATAGTTATTCTCAACTACTTTGAAACTGAAACATGTTATAGTAGTAATATTTACTTGAATTTTAATTAATTTATTTATAATTTCCAATTGTCATACAATTACCCAAATATTGTTTTTTTCTTTTTATTGGTGTGAAAAAATTTCTCCTCCTTATTTTTTAGGTTTTGAGGTTCTAGGATTTTTTTATGACATGGAAAATCGTCATGGTCTGAAATCCTGGCATTGGGGACAAAATCATGAAATTGAAGCAGAAAAAGGAAGAATTCGTAGACTTGCCAATTTTCCAATTTTCGATAAGGTATAATCATATGATATTCAATATTTATTGATTCGAGTAATTTAGTGTGTTCCGCATAAAATTCAAACCTATTAAAAGAGGAAAACTCATTGTCAAGACATTTCTTATTCATATTTAGCTCGAACTCGAAATATTTTAACTATAACTTCAACTTTCATACCTTCTTTTAAAAAAGAAAAAATTTCGAACTCAAAATATTTTAACTATAACTTCAACTTTCATACCTTTTTTTAAAAAAGAAAAAGAAAAAAAAAATGTTCCACTTCAATTACTTTAACTCTTGCGTTATCATTTGGTCCCAAGTAAATGGTATGATTTCTGTCCTTTTACATAATGTATATATATATATATATATATAATATATATATATATATAAATAAAATACATCTGCGGCAAATATTTAAACATTATTAAATTTTACACTCCGTGGATGAAAATTATTTACACTTTCAAGTTAATTTTACATCCCCTCCCTACCCATTCTTATCTTATACAATATTTATTTTACCCTTAATATTTTCAATCTCCCATTTATGTAATACCTAGGTAGTTTAGATTTTTACCTAAGTTCATAAATATTATAAGTAGAATAACCCTTTTACGAATTTGTTGCAAATTCTAACACTAATTTTTATGATTATGAATGTATGTATGTGCATGCATACTTGTGTGTATATTTAAGCTTTGGCTTAAGTCATACACGTCCCCTTAAAGTTGTCCGCATAATTCACTTAGACACCTCAACTTGGGCTTGTTCCAATTGAACACCTTCATTAGTTAAAAAAATATACCTATTGAACACTGTGTGACAATCAATTAAAAATAGAGAGCGCGTGTCATACACTTGCTAATGATGTGGCATAGTAACAAATAAGAAAAAGACATGTGGCACTTCGTCCATAAAAAAAAGTAAAAAATAAATTAAAAAGAAAAATAATAGAAAAACTATGTTTTTAACAAAAAGAAAAACTCTTTTCTTCTTTGCCAGAACACCCCACCCAACCCACCCATCCACCCTTCGTCCATCCTTCCGCTTTCTTTACCGGAACACGCACAGAGCCGCTGTGACTAAAATCAAGGATAATCATCTTCGTTCCACCTTTTTTTGTCTCAACGTATTTTTTTCCACTCATACACCTATCCCTCTCGTTTATTCCGATATCCATCAACATTTAGTTGTCATTTCTCTCAATCTCACTTTTTTTTTCAATCATCAATTCAGATTCTCATATTTTATTTTTCTTCTTCTATGATGTGAGTTCTTTAGGATTTGAATTTTTTAACAATTTGAAAGAAAATAATTTCATATTCGTATTAGTCTTACCGGAAAAAATGGAATTTCGCCGGAATTATTTTTGACGCATTTGATTTTAGGTTTTGATAATATTAGTACTCCATTGTGGAATACCGCTAGTAAAAATAATCATCAAGGAGTGTATGGGAAAGGGATGTGGCGGGGTCATGGCAAAGAAATTTGGCGGGTTTTTATTTAAATAATATGACATTGAAAAGTTTAATTGGGGATGACACAACCAATAATTTAACTAGCAAATTAAGTTTAGCAGATTTAGGTTTTCGTTTTAACAAAAAATGAAAAAAAAAAAAAGTAGATCGAAAATGAAGTGCAAGAGATTTTTAAGATGGAGTGAAGAAGATGACAGGTAAAGGGGTGTACGGTGGGGTTGTTTCTTTTTCTTGATTAAGAGCTTATTTTTATAGTTATTTAGTTAATGTATGCAGGTGTTAAAAAAGTAACAAATTATCTAAAAAAAAATAAAATTGAAAAATGAAATAGGAACCTATTCACGCGCTCAACAGCGGTGAGGTACACTTATTTTGCCACGTAAGCACTTTGTGTTTAATAGGTATATGTTTTGAACAATTTAAGTGTTCAATAGGTACAAGTCCTAGTTGAGATGTCTAAGTGAATTATGCGGACAACTTTAAGGGGCTATGTATGACTTAAGCCTTAAGCTTTAGTAGGTTACTTATAATTTTTAATTGGCCAAACACATACAACCCTTAAACTTGTTCCTAAATTTCATTTTGACACTCCAACTCAACCTTGTTCCATTTTAACCCTTCAACTCCAATTTTTATGTTCCATTTTGACACTTTTTTTTTTTTATAAGTGATTAAAAAAGATCTTAATTCCTCAAAAATAAATAAATAAATTATTTTTTTGAACATTGATGTCATATTTTACTTATTTAACAGGTTGAAGTGAATGACGATAGTCATGACAATCTTTATAGATTTATGAGGACATCAAGAAATATCCCAAAAATCGAGGAAGAATTTGAAAAATTTCTAATAGACGGAAATGGAATACCTATAAAACACTTTATTCGATACGATGGAGAAACACTAGAACCTCAACCTGTGAGACCAGGAGAATACCCTGGTGAATCATTCACGTCAAAAGATACCAACCCCATAAAGGTACGTATTTATTTACTTTATACTTAATTGAGTGGAGTATTATTTTTAATGTCAAATCAATAAATATTGAATACAACTAATTAATTTACTATTAATGTTTTCTTTTTTCACCCTATTCACAGGCTGAAATTGATAAATTTCATTGGGAAACAGAATCTCAATAATTATTAAATATCTTACATCAAAGTTATTACTCATATTGTGTGAACATTTTACTCCGTAAAAGTATTGTAATAGTAATTGAGATTATAAGAATTATAAATAAATATTGTTGCTTGTTGTTTTACGTATTTATTCTATACCTATGGAGCTTTTGATTTGTATAATTCAGTAGATACATCCAATTTTATACAAATTGTTCAGTTTTGTATAAATTCATTTATACATTGTAATTTGTATAATAAAATATGTATTTGTATAATTATAAGTGTATAAGACGAAAATATATATATTTGTATTTGTATATACACTTTTCTCTCACTTTATACAAACACGAACACATTTTATACTGAAATGTATAAAATGGCTAATTGTATACATAAATCAGATGGCAAAAAATGGGATGTTTGTTGCGAATTACAAATAAAATAAACTATAGCTATAACATTTAATTTGAATTAATAATTTGTTATTTCATACAATTTTTCCTAAATTTAATTATGCTCCATAGGTATAGTTGCATATTTACAGGTTGTAGCTATAGTTAAAACTGTATCGTTTGTATAATTTACGGGTACATTTGTATAATTGAGGCTTGAACTATTTTTGTATAAACTCGAAATAATGAATTTATACAAGCGCAAACATCTGGACTTTAAACAATTATACAAATTATATTATACAAATTTTAAATTATACAAACTCGAAACCTCAGCCCACGTAATTATCACTGAATGTTGGTTACGAGTGGTAATTAACTATTTTTTTTTATTTTTTTAGCCCGTCTAAAAAAACACATAATCGAAAAAATAAATAAGAGTTGAGGGGTATTATTGACTTCTTTTTTTTTTGCTTTGTTAAAACATTAACGAGTCGTCCCGTTCCGTCAACCTGTATTATTTGATTGGGAAAACAGTGGACGGAACAATCGTGCCGCCGCCTCCCTCCATTCCCCTTATTCGTTCCTTACGGGTTTTCCGATCCTCTACTTCAAAATTTCAGCAAATACAGGCTCAATCCTTATTCATTCGTAAAATGGTAATGTTGATTTTCTCAATTCCGACATTGTTTTTATGCTTTTTCCTTGAATTTTATGTGATTTTTCTATAATTTTACATTTTTTTGACCAATCCGATTGTAAGGGTTCCGATTTGCTTATTCTTCAATTGTGGATGCATTTAAGTTTCTTAATGTTATAGGAAAGCAGAAAATAGGATATTCATGCTATTTGTTTTGGGGCTTATGAATTTATATCTTGTTCTTTAGAAGCCTGTGACATGGTATTTAAAGCAGAACTTTTTATGTTTTACCTCCTCTTGGATTAGCTTGCTTTTACTTTTTGTATAAATTTAGCTTCTCTACCTCGAAGACGTAGGAGTAAGGTCTGTGTAGACTCGATACCCTCCCAGGCTTTACTTTGTGGGGTTACACTGGATATGTTGTTGTTTTTGCTTTTGTTTGCTGAGATGATTATGCATTAGCTGGTTTAAAGCCTTTTACTAGCATAATATATTAGTTTAGGCTGGCTAAAAAACTACATTACATACTGTAGCTTTATTTATCTATTTTACTTTTTTTCCTTTGGTGGGGTGGAGAACCGAACATCCAGGATGCTACAGCTTCAGTAGCATCTTCGTTTTCTAAAATTTCCCGTTGGAGTAAAGGGAAGTGGATGAATTGTTCGAAAAAGGAGCTACGGGAATTAAGGTGCAGTACAGGTGCTGTTGAATCTGCAGTTAAGGGAATATCACTAGCTCTTAGAATAAGAGCTCCGGGACTTCATGGCTTTGAAGTATACAAGTTTTGTGATGTGTTTTCCCATGGGTATCTGGCAACCATGTATCTAGGGGGATAATGGGCGATTTGATAGCAAAAGCAATAAGAAATCCTATATAGAATATTTACTTTTTTGGGTTTGTGAGTGGAGGGTATAGTGCATCTTTAGCTCACCGAGGACATGACCCTTGGTAAGAGGGTGTGGAGGTCCATGTTTAGGGCATAAGGTTAGTAGGAAGTTAGGCATATTTCTTTTCCATTCTCAGAGTATTAGTATTACTCTTCCTTTTTTTCCTTATCTTTAGATTTCTATTACTACCTGTTTGTTTCTTTAACCTTGATATCTTATTTTCTTGTTGCTGTTTCTCCTTGTTACTGCCACCTCTTTTTCATCATTCGTTCAACCAATGGTGTATCGGAAATGACCTCTATACGTTCTCAAGGTAGGGGTAAGATCTGCATACACTCTACCCTCCCCATACCCCGCCTATGGAATTACACTAGGTTGTTGTTGTAGTTTGGTTTGTGGATGGAGGAAGAGGGGGAAAGAGAATCCTGTGGGTGATATTAACCATACACTGCTTGAGTGTTAGATGAAGTAGCAACCACTAGGTTACAATTCCAATCTTGTCTTAGTTTAGCTTTGTGTTTTGGTGTTGGAATCCGTGTCTTCCTTTCTCTTTCTTGGAGGAAATGAGGTAATCAAAAGGGTTGATGGAACAAGGTGACACATTTTATGTGACTTCAGCTTCGGTTTTCAATTATATGCAATTAAATTGTTTAAACATATTGGTTGAACAATTCTTTGTTATGAAGCTTTGTTCACAAACGAATGGTTGATCGGTTGAGGCATACTAGTGACAATCTGGAAATTTCATCTTTTACCACCACGTACAATACTTAGTCTGAGGTTACTGTGACCTCAAACTGACCAAACAACTCTGTCATAGAGAAAAAAGGATTGGAAAGAGGCTTTGGCTTACAGCTGTTACCCCTCATTATGCCATTATGAACTTTATGGTAGCAAAATTGATGGTTAGAAGAGCAGTTTTACACACTAATAAAAAAAAGGAGTAGTTTTGCACTAACTATGTCCCACAGATGATATATCAGTAATTTTGAGTTTCCATGTGGTGGTTGACATATACATTACTTCATCAAAAAAAATGTGGTGGTTGACACATCAATTTACTTCATCAAAAAAAATGTGGTGGTTGACATATTGTAGAAGTAGATTAGCTGAACTGATGAGCAAATCAGTTGTCCCTCTTTCATTTTTGGTGTTTTTTGTAATTTATCTATTTAGTTATTGTTTTCTGGGGTGAAGTGGGTGCAAGAGGACTATAAGTACTAGTGAACACCATTACAAAGTCTTCGCTTTTCCTCCTTTAAGAAAGACTTCACTTTTTCGTTCTAGAGCATTAACATGTAAATGAATTCTTGTTTTCAGAAGTCTAGAGAAGAGAAAATCAAAACCATTCACTAGGTTAAGTTTTTATTTATTTGTTTTATTGTGCATATCTTTTCCCAAACTCATCCTCTTCTATGGTTTTGATGTACCTGGAGGCACACAATGTTTCGAGTGTGTGCAGATGAGTCAGCTACAGGGAGTTGTAGCATAAACTAATCTTGAGTTGCTGATGGTTGTATGATTTGTGTACATGCCTACTTGGGTCCTTGTAGTGTTAAACTGGTCATAGAAGTGGAAAGATGGATTGTAGATAGGTAAAGTGAGAAGCGATAATAGAAGATATGACCATATCTTGGCTATGAATATCTGAAATTATACCAGTCATACACTCAAGGCTAGTAAAGTTGATAGTTGTAATAGTCATTGAGGGTATAGAGTTTTCTGACTTGCTGCTAGTGAAGAAACATTTGCTTGAGGAAGTTCCACTGTGAAATAATAATTTGAATAGGTTGAACCTCTGTTCCAGTGAACCTGTCTTTGCTGATTTTGAAAGAGTCTTAGCTCTATATAATGAGGACGATATATTGATTCATATGGATGGTATTAGCTTCTTTTGCAATATTATCCTGTTGCTCCCTCATGGCCACACCATAAGGTATTCTGGTGCTGCCTCAATAAGGTCTCATCTCTTTTTTCTTGGTCAACATCATAATATCCCATCGTCTTATTGTCTTTACCAAATAGTATTATTGATTGGGCTGTACTGGATCACTTTCTCTTTTAGATCTTCTTTCAGTGGAAACCTGAAAGGTAATTTTTGGTGATCTATGATCGTTATCCTTGAACGTACTGTATCACTTTCTCTTTTAAGATGTTCTCTCTGTGGAAAGAGACTTTCTTCGTGATTTATGATGCTTATCCTCAGATGTTGCTTTTTTCCTTCTGGAAAAGCTAAGGTGCCCAAAGTCTCCAATCCTCTATGTGACTTAAGTAACATTTTCTGAATACAAGGACATCTTTCGTCCACTTTGTTTTTCTTTTGAGGGCGAAAAACATACAAAGACACACCGTATGCATCTAGTTAGAGATAAAAGTTCGGATCACCTACAATACTATTTTACTAACAGTTGGGAGAAATTAATGTACATGATTCCCATCCCAATTTATGTATGGTATTTCCATCTTGGGACATCCCCAGGGAGAAAAAAGATACTTCATCAGGCTTAGATATATTTAGGGTAAACCCTGAGGGGTAGCTCAGCTGGTAAAGGCCTGGGACAAAGTCCTTCAGGTCGCCGGTTCGAGCCCCAGCAGGGCCACTGGAGGCATTACAAACCGGCCGCGTCTCCAGGGCCCCGTGGAACTAACCGTGGTGGACCCGCCTTGAAACAGCGGGACCCGGTGGGTACAGCTAGTCGGGTTCGCAAAGCGACGCCCGGAAACCACGGTAAAAAAGAAGAAGATATATTTAGGGTAAGTTGTATGTGCATTTTGATGTAAGAAAAGTGGTACAACATGGAATTCTAATAGGAGTGCTGTATGAAGACAACATGATCTCATTGGCATGATGCTTATAATTTAAGTACATCAAGAACAAGATGAAGGCCAAGAGCTACTAGCATATTTATTTGACTACTCTTTGGGTGCTATGCAGGCAAACAGGCACACTATTGTTCTCATGCAGACATCTCAGAACCGAGCAACTCGCACTTTCATGGATTACGAGTCAATAAGTCAAGCAATGGATGGTATGTATTGCGACATTGCTATAATTGCATTTCACTCTTGATATATTTGCCCTTGTTGAGGCAATACTTGATTCCCCCTGAATGTAGTTAACCAAAAATAAGGCACAAACTTAGGAAAAGATGTCAAGTTCACAAACTTAATTAATCAACAGGATTTATATCAGCAGCATGAAATCTGAAACTAGAACCCAATAGATTACACCTGTAGTACTTGCAAACAATTTCATTATGCATTATCAGCCATTGGAGAAAATCCCTCTCTCTTATTCGAAACTTTGACGAACACTTATTCTTTGTCTTCTCACCGAAGTTCAAGGAACTTTGTCTGGCTAATACAAGCATGTTAGTCTAATTTCCTATTTTGTTCGTCACACTTCTAAAATTATGGGGGGCTAGAATTTTTTTGGTGGGAGAAATTATGTTGGACTAGAGCTAGATGCATATAGGAACGACGTCTATCTTTTGACTTCCAGGTAAAGGAAATCAAGGCAAATAAAGAATCACTCTCATGATTGGATTAGATAGTAAAAAGGAGCTGGGACCGATATCTACTTTTTAGGGATAAGTAAGATCTTAATGTTGAAGGGAAGGGTTTTGTATTGGAACTCCATAACATTGCACATTTTTGCTTTGCATTATAGGTGACACTTCACATTCACAGATGGTTACTTTCATGGAAGCTTGTAAAACACTATCAAGAATCTGTTGTTATAGACCTCATGACAAGAAAGAAGGTTCATTGGTGGGATGTTAGTTTTGGTATAATAGTGGAAACATATACTATAGCTAGTAATGAACTTCTAAGGTGAATTATCCAAAATAATTTGGCGGGAGTCAGGAGAGGTAGAGGCAGGCGTGATTAGTCATGACATGTCGCATCTTTAGCTTACTGAGGACATGACCTTAGATATGAGGGTTTGGAGGGTGCAGATTAGAATAGAATGTTAGTTGGTAATTGAGCGTTCTCTCGCTTTTCTGCGGGATAGACTCGGTGCCATACCTGCACCTACTTTCTTACCAGTAGTATTAGCAATATTCTCGTAGTTTCTTATTCTTCGATTTCGGTTATCCCGTGTGTTTGTTTGTGCTTTGGTTATCGCACTATTTCGTTCTTGTTACTACTCGTTCTTCTGTATGTTGTAGTATTGTTTTCTATTTCACATTATTTCGTTATTGTTAGTTGTTACTGCTTTCATTTCTATATTCCCTTTTTCAAACTACTTTGAAATGTTTTTTAAGCCAAGGGTCTATGGTAACAGCCTCTCTATATCTATAAGGTAGGGTTAAGGATGTGCACTGATCCCACTTGTGGGATTATATTGGGTATGTTGTTGTTGTTGTAGATGGAGGAAGAAAATATCATGGGCGGAAGACATTTTCTTCACATTTTTTGCGTAAATTATTTACCTTGTGCATGTGATTTAAGCTTCAATGTTCCCTCTTATGTTTAGCCATTTTCTAAGATACTTTTTTCCTGCAGGAATTTGTGCTTTGTATGAGAGGAAACTCAAGGAATTGAACCCAGCCATCAGAGAAATCACTTACGACATCTCAGATCTTTACAATTTCATAGATGGCCTTGCTGATATGAGTGCATTAGTGTACCTCTTCCTCCCTCCCTCCTGCTCTCTCTCTCTCCCTCTCTCTCTCTCTCTCTCACACACACACACACACACACACACGCACACACACGCACAGAGATTCCACCTGTGCATCCATTGAATAGAATCCCAAATCAGAGAAATATGCAAGTATTGCACATTTCGTTACCGACACAGAAAAGCAAATATGAAAATATGGCTTTCTGTGAGCAGGTCTTTAAATGCTACTGCTTTTTTCACTAACAAAATTTTCAGTTCATCTCATTGATGTTAAAACATACACATACATCTTACACGTTTCCATTTGACCTCTCGGGTTTCTGTACTTTCATTTCATGAACAGGATGAACTGCTACGTGCACATCAAACAATTGGCCACTGGTCCATCATACCTGATAGAACACACATTGTTCATATTCTTAGCACTCACTATGCTTTTGAAATGTTAACTAATTCCAGCATTATTTGTTGACTTGCTGCAGGTATGATCACTCAATCCAGGCTTACCTCCCCTATGACCGGCAGTGGATAAAACAGAAAACATTGCAACACCTGAAAAAACTGGCATCGCAGAGATAATATATCTTAAAGGCTAGTTTCTGTATACCATGTTCAATTAATTTCCTGATGGCTTTTATGAAGAAAGAGCTGTGGATTGGAAAATTGCAATCTGGAGTAAAAATCTATGTATGATACGCTTCTTTTCCCTGAAATCCAAATCTTATCTGTAGAGCTACAATTGGGAAACCAACTGTTGTCGGAACTGAACCTAACACTGGCGTTGCAATTCAAATCATGGATGTATAACTATGCATAGTTCTGTAAATTGAGCACTTTAAACTTGCTAATGATTCTGAGTCTCATTTCTTGTCAGTACATTTACTTGAACAAATATATGGGCATGAAAAAGTCTTGGACTTGAGACAGTAGACACAATATTGTTGGATAGGTGCTGTTCGAGTCTAATTTGTTTTTCTTTATGATCTTATGCTGAGGTTCTATTGGAAACAGCCATCACGTTCACAAGAATGGATGAGATTTGCATACATGTTATCCTTCTCAGGATCGACTCATGGAATTACAATGAGTATGTTATTCCACTGACTTGACTAGTCTTGCATATAACCTATATTTTATTATATTGATGTGTCAAACCATCTCTAATTCAATCAAAATGATGACTGAAATGGAATTTGGTAATACTGTGGTACGCATCAACAAAGTACAAAAATATTTGCTTATTGGGTGATAAAAGTATCAGTAATTCAAACAATTTTTGAGACCATACAAAAATTCAAGATATAAAAGTGTCTTCAAGCCTATAACATTACAAAAATGTAGAAAATCACATTAGTCTAATTAAACTTTGATTTTTTATTTTTTATTTTAAGTTCAAATGGTAAGCCAATCCACATTGTCATTCTTATTTATTCAAATCTTTGATCTTATATTTCACAAAACCTTGAATTATATGACTCGACATACACATGCACATGTCAAGAAACTAATCTATTTTTTTTGGGAAAAAAAAAATCTTACACGGAAAATACATTTTTTTTTTTACATTATATACTCTTAACCTTTAATAGGAACTGGTTACTAACAACAATACATAGCCAGTATAATCCCATAAATGGGGTCTGGAGAGAATAGAGTGTACATAGACTTAACCCCTATGAGAGAGGTTGTTTCTGATAGACGCTGAACGTAACTTTAAAAAAAAAGGCATTTCAAAGCAGTTGCTAATAAATTCATATAAAGAAAAATCTGCAAATTCTTCTACTTTGAATTTTCTAAGCATTGTGGTCCTGTTGTTGCAAGTTTGTTGACTAAAGCAAGTGCATTACTAGTCATATAACTCACATTTGTGACTTTGTTCAAGAGTAACTTTACTTGTTTTCTCTTTTTGTCTTCAAGTCCATCTAAGCAAGTGTCTTCATCAGTTAGAGCAGCACTTAGCCAAGTGGTCACATCACCCATTTGGTCATTAAAAGTTTGGCTACTAAGTTTTCTTAGCACCCCTAATGAGTTGTGTAGATTGTCAAGTGCATCTTGCAAACAATCAACACAATCTAAAATAGCAACTCTACCTTTCCCTTTCAAGAAATTTTGTTTCCTCAATTTCAACAAGGATTGAGTGACACCCTTGGCTTGGCTTATTGTCACCGAGACCCCGGCCCGGGCCCACTTGCTAGGGTTGTCCTTGGCCGTCCTCGAGAATGATGCTAGCGAGTGGAGGCAAAGGTCCTGATATCGAGTCACACTACATGCATCGCGAACATAACTTTCTCCTCCCTTACTCAAACACATTGTAGAACAAATTAGTGAAGTTAGACATGCTAGGACTAGCAGTAATTTATTAGTCATGGGATAGAAAGTAAAGATATCTAATTGAAGCAAATAAGAAATAGTAATACAATGCTTATAAAAGAACTTCATGAAGTCCCCTTTTTAAAGAAATGATATATGGGTGACTAGGATAAAGTTAAAGCTGGGTATCTTTATTTGAGGAGTTTGTTAATGAAAACAAGAAAGTGGTGAATACATCAAAAGAAAGCAATTGTGTCTTAGATATGAGGGAACAAATCTTTAGAATAATGATGATCATGTTAAAAGGGCCAAAAGTTGTTTTATGTCCATTTCTAACTACACTTTTTTCTGGAAACTGAGGAAAGAAAAAAAAAAACAGGAAAGTAAAATCAAGAAAATATGAGATCACTTTAAAAGTGTATCGTCATTCTTTCCTTTTTTTTCAAAAACAAACTAGGGGTAGTTCTTGGTAATATATAAACAGATACTCAAACTTGGCCGCAACTGATAAGTAAGCACTCCAACTTTGAATATGCACATCTAGACAACTCAACTCAACTGCATTGTGTCTCAAATGAACAGTCCAACTTACAAAATGATCAACTAGACACCTCCAAAATTTATGTGTTACGTCAGCATCAGGTGTCCATGAGACACTGTGGGGACGAGTTGAAGAAAATTGATAAGAAAGTAGAGCATCTTTGAGGTTTCATTTAACACAATCCATTTCTGAAGTTTCAAGGTGTAAAGAAGAATTTACATATATGATAAGAATTACATTCAATTTTTAATAGAACATTGAGCATGAAATGGTAAAAGATCATCAAGCTGAATGTGTATGGATCACATTATACTTATATAATCCACAAGAAACAAGTGCCTTGCAAGTTTAACAGACAGTGTAATTTCTGTTTTCACATGTTTGATGTCAATGTGACAAAAACTCGTAAAAATACAGAGAAAAATGAATCTTCTATCCAATGACGTTTACTATCTAAATTAAACCAAAATAATAATAATAATGGGTGGTATCAAAAACTCATACCCGGTAATCACTTCTATAAGTATGGTTATGGAAATAGTTAAGCTCAAAAACGTGTATAATCCGCTATCTAGTATCCATGTTGTGAACCAGAGCGACAAGTTCGATGTTTTCATTCTGAGTTGCTGAGGTTCCAGTGGTTTCTTTTGAATCTGACATCTCATCAGGAAGGATAGAGGAGTTGGGATCACTTCTGGGAATCAAAAATAGTACAAAAAGTGGAGTGATTCTCAAAATGTTCCTTATCAAAATGGCTAGCCAGAGATTATGAAACTTTGTCCTTGTAATTTTGAAGACATGAAGCAACAATCCGCCAAACCATGTTGATGTCAAAAGTCCGGTATTGTCAATTGACATGAGCAAGGCGAAAAATGTGCCTTCAATGCCAGGAGGACATAGCTTGGAACTTAGAACAAGAAGTGGCATCCACTTTAGCCGTCCAACCAATTGAGTTACACTTGCATCCATCACCATGAAGAAATAATCAGGTATGCCAATTTTCAAATTTAAACGCAACACTAGCACCAAATCTAGCATTCCTGACAGACCAAACAATAACTGAGTCCAAAAAAGCAGGTCTCGAAAAGAATGGTCTTTCAATCCATATTGGTACAGTATAGCCCCTAATAGTGATCCAATGGAGGCTACTGCTGATATGTATCCGATATACTCCTGCAGGAATAAAGCATTTACAGAATTTCACATTTCCATTGTGAGTTCATCTACCAATAATACCAAAAAAGTACGCATGTTTAATAGAACGCATAATACATAAGCATACACTCACACTTGTCCTCAGCCGGCAAGTAAATACATACTCTTACTCTGAGTATGCACTATGCACGTCTAGACACCTCAACCTGTCTCCACTTTGTCAGCTGAACACTCCAACTTACAAAATGATCATAACCTCCAAAATTTATGTTTCATGTCAGCATCGGGTGTCCACGAGACAGTGGGGACGAGTTGGGAGTATTTAGTTGTCAATTGAGACCAAGTTGAGGTATCAAGATGTGCACTCTCTAAGTTGGAGTATTGAGTTGCCAGTTGAGACCAAGTTTGAGTGTTTGTTTATGTATTGTACCTTAATAGAATATCTCACGTGGGCTTCTTTCATTCTAAATAAGAGAACTTACATGAAATAGGAAGAAAGAAAAGTGCATTCAATCAGGTAAATCAATTTTTGTTATCCCCAAAAAGAGTACAAAGAACTAATTTTAATTTGATAATAAGGTTTTCTGATGCATTTACAACATTAACAAGAAGTCAAACCAAGATGTCAAATGAAAAGATAGGAGAGACCTACTGTATGTATAGTTGATAGGGTAAGCAACATTTGGCTTAGCATCTAAGCAGGTTAACTTGGGCCTCTGAGTTCCCTTATTTGTTTTTGTCCTTGTATAATTTTGTCTTGTGTTGTTAGTTAGAGCCTAGAGGGGGATACTCTCAATTATGCAGAACCTCTCTTGTGTGAGATGTCTCCTCACTCTAATTAAAGCCTTGCAAGTTGGATATTTTAGAAATGTGTTATTAGTTTCCTTTGGTTAACAGCAAGTTAAATGAATTTATGATTCTAAATAGCTTGATAGGAATGTGACATGTCTAACAGTTATTCACCTTTGAAAAATGTGGTCCTCCCTTTGCATCTGTTGCCCAGTAGAACATTCCTTCCTGGATATCTACACTCACCGCAAAGGATAAGTACATATAAAGACATGGTCGCCAAACTTCCGGGCATTTCAAAGTATTCCACATAGCCTTGGCAGCATCAGTTAAGTTCTGATTTACCTGAGGACGGATTATGATTTTAGAGACTGAATTGTTCACAAATAGTAGTGAGATGAGATGTAAGTACCTGTTGATAAGCAAAGTTGTGTGTTGGAGATTCCTTGAGCAAAACTCCTACCAGAATAACAAGCCCGGCTGGTATGGACAATAAGCCATATACCCCCTTTTTTTCAAAGAAAAGGATTCAGAAGTAATCTAAAAAAAAATTCAGAAGTAATCTACTATAATTAGACATTCACTAGACTTCCCAAAATGAATATATAAAAAGTTGTTAAAATTATGGATAGAAAGCTAACCATAGGGCCAAGTAAGTGAACTAATATACCACTTAAAGAAAATCCCACTAGTGCCCCAATTGAGGAACTCAAGGCACATAAGCTTTGCATATCAGCTGCAAGGGAAGGATGAGAACCACTGTTTTGCGCCACACATGCATCAACAGTCACGTCAGCTATAGCAACAGCAGCACTTCCTGCTGTCAAGGAGAGCAGTGCAAGCACAATATGCAAGTTCTTGTGCAACGATAAGAACAGCATGGAGACAACTCCAAGAGAACCTGGAATCATTAATGTCATGCTTTCATAAACAGAACGAAAAAAATAGCAAATATGCCAAAGAAATAATAAACAGAGACGATATTCAGTTAACTTTTTTCATTGAATTTACTTTTGTCAGCATTTTGATTCATTAAACAAGTTATGGTAAGGATGTCATGAAAAACTAGCACGAGACACTTGAAAATTTCATCAGTTTCAACCAATATTCCCTTAGGGTGCAGGCAAATGGTAGAAGTGTCATCAAGTGCAGAAGAAAATTTTACTGTATCAGTTTCTTTCAGAAAACTCGAAAAGGGGAATTAATTTCTTCCATCAGCATTAGCTAATGTCTCCTTAGCGAGTACCATAAAACTAAAAACTTAGTTAACAAGATATATATCAACACTTACATGATCCCTCCTTCAAAGACAATAATACTGATGTCTACATTAATCTAGGTTGTTAACATTTTCTTTGACCAAGATATATTTCCAATTTTAGTGGTGTCAGGGCTGAGTGTCTCAAAACCTAAGTTGTTCAGACTCTCCAAAAATGTTGCCGCACCTGTGTCGGATCCTTCAAAAATACACTATTTTTGGAGGATACGACACGCACCCGTCGACATTTTTAAAGAGTCCGAGCAACATAGCTCAAAACAAATTGTAACAAAAGCAAGAAGGAAGTCTCTTTTTAGTAGAATGGAATGGAGTCATTTACATGGAGCTAGAATGGATTTAAATCCAAATTCATTTCAGAAGTAGATGAGGACTTCTAAGATCATATGAATATTTCAGTTCCTTTTGAGGGGATAAGAATGTATTATCGGAAGTTTGAAGTGTAAATGTAGCCACTTTTCTGGCCAAATGTTAAAGAATATGAGAAGCATATTCAAAGTGCTATAGTCTTAAACCTAAGAGTTTCCTATAAATGCACCAAGGGTCATTCATCTCACCTGCACTAACTACAGTTTAGAAGGCTGGAGAAGATTCCAATTATTTGAAAATGTAGGAGAGCAAGTCATCACCTTATTAGCAAATTCCTAATCCTACTGATTATTACTCAGCTACTATCTTATTTTTCAATTGTAGTATTACCTATTGTTTCTTTGCTTCAGTTAACATACTATTTTGTGGTTGCTACTGTTCTCTGCTTCATTGTTTTCAGCATGGCTTATTCGCTATTGTATTTGCTATATATATTTGTTTTTTTATATGATTTACTTGAGCTAAGGGTTTATTTGAACCAGTCTCTCTACTGTCATTAGGTAGGGATAAGGTTGCATACATACCTAATACCACCTCCCCAGATCCCACTTATGGGATTACACCGGATATATTGTTGTTGTTGTACTGATTATGAGTACCATATCTAATTCATTAAGTTGTCCAATTTATGTTACACTAATTGAAAAGATGTCTTACACTAATTAATATGCCTACAAATCCTCTAACTATGGAATTTCTTTTTCGTGATCATATACATATATAATATATTCAGTTCATACGAAATTATACACATACATAATACAACATAGTTACACTCCCATTGATATGCTCCAACCTTGCTACGAATATATTTATCCTTGGGTGATAAAATCGGCATTTCCCTTGGACTGGAATGTGTAATAAACTTCAAATATCACACTAGATGGAAAGGGTTTCTTGGCTGTCAAAGGATCACATTCTCCCTTGTAATGCATATTTACCTGCCAAACCTACATTATGTGAAGACCTCATTCCATTGAATCCCATAGTTGCCGAAGTTCCATTACCTTTTGTTCCTACAATCTTTTGATTGCCCTTAGGGGGTGGAAAAGATTATTAATCCTTGGAATATGATTACTAATTTTATTAGTATCATGTCAGAATTACAGTAAGCAATTGCCTGACAATAAATAGTAATTCTCTAGTAACAAATCTTTGATTCCAGGAATTTCCTTACCTGATGATATACATCTTTTTTGATAAAGTTCAAATTGTTGACGAACGAAAGCACTTAGAAAGTATTACATAAGTTTACAAGTTCAATATATACTCACACACTTCAACTTCATGTTGTAGCTTTCAATATTTATGATTGAATAACTACAACTGTTAGGAACTTCAGAGATGCTCTTAGTCTATGCATGACAACCAACAAAGTTTTATTTGTTTGAAATCTTAAGGTTATCCAAATCACAGCAGAGACCAAATCACTTTGTGATTTCTTTCTCATCTACCTACGCCTTTTGTGGACAAATTTACTCAGTACCATACTAGTAGGAGGTAGCAGGTACCCCATAGAATAGGCGAGGTGTGCACAAGTTGGTGCGGACACCACTGTTATCAACAAAAGAATCCAAAGGTTACCTAAACAAGAAAATATTCATGGAACCTGCTCCGCAAGACATGTCAAATGGACATGTTATGTCATATGTGAGCTGATTGAAATAGATAGAGGAAAAGAACAGACTATGATTAAACCTTTACAAAATCTATTTGTGTCCAACTAAATTGGCTTAAGAATATATTGATTAGTGAGTAATATTCTTCCCTACCCTACTCAACACAATCCTATTTCTTAAGTAAGTGTTAAAAGATGAAATAGAAATCTTAATCCTAGATATAGTAGATAAGCTTGTTTTCTAGTGCCTGTAAAGTGTACTATGAAGTCTGGACATTTAAACCTGAAGCACTACACACTTGGTGAAAGAATCTAAGCATCCATCTCAGAAACTTAAGGCAATGGGTGGAGTAGCTCAAGACATTATAAACCCCTTTGGGAACTCTTATACAAACAAATGTGTGAAATAAACCAAAAATTTGGAATATGTTTGACTTTGATATAATATGAAAGTATTTGAGCATCCTACTGGAAATCTTAAGACAGTGGGTTGAGTGGCCCAGGCACTAAAACTTGCTTATGAAAACCTTACATTCCCTATGAGGGATAAGTGTATTCAACACCTTAACTAATACTATATTTTTGTTTACTTTTTTGAAAATTCCCAAGAAGGAAATTGCAATCTCAGGTTTGTTCTTAACTTGTTTGTAGTCACATTTAATTTCCTCTCCATCAAAGAATTTGTAGATGATTTAAATATTATGATGCACCAATAATTGCAATTCTCACAGGCAGCATTCTTAAAACTCTTACCCATCTGAGAACAGCAATGTACTTCAAACGCTACTCAAATTACAAGCCTAAGTTTGAGTTGTTTGTAACCGACATGCGACTCAACTGAAGCTACACCCTGAACATGCTACCAAAAGAAACTACTTAACATACTGATAAAAGCTTTCTTAAAATGGAGAGAAATATGTGCCAGTAGCATATTCTAAGATTCTCGTTCTTTCAATGACAGTTGAGCCTGACAGCCATAGGAGTTTTAGCTAAAGTTCTGGAGAAGATATCATATCCATCTTATCCTTTTCCCGCTACTTATGTACCTAACTACATCGGATTTTCCAGTTTTAGCAAGTACTATAATATAATGTGGACAGATTTCAACTAGCTATCAGCCTTGAGACAACATTAACTACAGCTAAACTAACAGATAATCAAGAGTCTAAAATCAGCAGTAAAACAAAATAAAAGCTAAATGGCATTGCATATTTTACCCGCAAACAAGAAATAAGGTCTGCGACGATACCCCAAAATGGGAACAGCATCAGTGAGAAGACCCCAAAGAGGCTTGACCATCCAGGGGATTGAAGTTATCCCTGAATAAACCTGAGATTCAGAAGGTTGCACTTTTTGTACATCCTTCATATAGTACTCTGTGCTTATTCTGGAAAAAGCTCCACCAAGTCCTTGGCTTACTCCATATACAATCACCACACTAAACACAAAATTCCAGTGTAATTCCATAGCAAGCATTTTGAACCAGTTGACTGGAGCACAAATAGAACTACAGATCCCATTATTATGCTCACTTTCTTGCACTTCCTCATCCTCACTATGAATAATTTGAAGTTTGGCTTCTTCCCCCTCACTATGAATAATTTGAAGTTTCTCTTCTTCCCCCATCACTCCCCAAATCAACAAAATGAGATCCCAAAAGAACAAGAAAACCCCACTTCAAAATTAGGCCTTTTTCAAGATCCTAGTACAAAAAATGTCCTGGAAAAGTCAACCTCCAAGCAAATGGAGATCCCAATCTGTAAAACCTCAGTTCAAGATTGAACCTTTTCAATATTCTGGTACCTCAATGTCTTGGAAAAGTCAACTTCCAAGCAAATGGGGATCCCAAAATCTGTAAAACCCCACTTCAAGATTAGGCCTTTTCAATATTCTAGCACAATAAAAGCATGGAAAAGTCAACTTCCAAGCAAATGGGGATCTCTTAAGCTTGTTTCTCCCATGGGGTTTTAGAGATTTCTTCCTAAACTTGGACTATTCCTCAAATAGCAATGAAATAAACTGTCTTAAAAAAAAATACAATAAAGATTCAAACTTTATCTGATCTACAAGCTAAATTCCCAAAAATATGTCCCCCTAGACCATTAATTATTCTTTCAACTTGCATATTGCTCCAAATTTCTCTCTGTGTTTGTCTGTTTGAGAAGGGTAAAAAATAGGTAGATTCAAGTGGTTGTTGGGGGGACAAGGGAAAATTTCAAGGTAGCTAAGTTTTAACATTTTCTTGTTCACACTTCACATCAAACTTCTGTATTATTATAGTAAGTAAAATCATCCCAAGGGAGAAGGAAGGCTGTAATAAAGGATTTAGCATTTTCAAACGAAAGACTACGGCTACTACATGCTGTCTTGTCTTTGTTAACTTACATACAATAATAAAGAAATTACATGTCATTTGTATATTTTGTTCGGATAATGAGGAGAACATGTCATTGTGATTATAACACTTCCTTTATTTTATGTCTACTAATATTATTATATATGTAATATTAGGTCCTAATGGATTGTTTTAATAGGATCTTTGATTTATTTCTTTCAAAATCTCAAATGAAAGATTTTTAAGATTTCTTCTTGCCTTTTTTATTTTTCTTGGAATCTCACTTTTTTTTTTTCTTGCTTCTTAATAACTCAAATTCATATTGATTAAACGTAGAAGATGCTTGTTATTCGAGCAATTTCGTCTTATTAAAATCTGTTTTTTACTTTATATATGCATGATTTATTAGGTCTTAATGGCACATCATAAAAAATGATCTTTGATTTGTTTCTTTCAAAATCTCAAATAAAAGATTTTTAAGATTTCTTCTTGTTTTTTTAATTTTTCTTGGTATCTCAAGCACATGCATATGCGATACACAAACTCTCTCCTTCACCTCCCTTCTATCTCGCTCGTCTCTCTTCGTATGAATTTGTATTTTAAAGTGTATATGATTGTATATTACATGTATCTAACTTGTCATCTAGTATGAAATTACTAATAAGAGACGGTATGTAACTTTTTCAAACTATAGAAAGAACTAGTTAATATGATAGGAATGTTTGTGTAATTAGGTAGTTTTTCCGCCAATCTCAAAAGTGGATATTTGCCCCCCTCCCCAACATTGAATTTTGACCCAAGTAACTTGATTTTGGGCTTGATCCAGTAATAGATAGCTCCTTACCGGCCCAAAAAGTATACGCCACGCATAAACGACGTCATTTCATGCTTAAATTAATTCTCCTTAAAACTTCTCGCACCGCCGATCGCCACCACTACCGCCGCCGCCGATCTAGGGTTTTGACAAGCCGGTGATATTTATCCAGAATGGAGGACAAAGGCACAGTTACAAGCCTTAAAACCATACAAGAACTAGCCGTAGAAGGGCAAAAGCATTTAGAAGATACAATAGAAGCAGCACATCAAATTCTCTCCGCCATGAACGATGAACTCTGTAATCCATCACTTTGGTCCACTCTAAATACAGCTGCTTCTTCTGCGGCGGCGGGTGGAGGAGTTGGTGCTAGTGCTGTTTTGAGTAACGGACAGCAGCACCATACAAACGGCGACATTTCGTCTGATACTTCTTCGTCTTCTTCTGCTTCAGCTCAGCATTTGGATATTGGTGGTGGTGCTCTTGATGAATCTCGTCTGCGTTACAAGTCCTCCATTGCTTCCTTGCGTTCTGTTCTTATGGCAATTTCTAATTCCCAAAAGGTAATTCTACGTGTAGAAATGCAAAAAAAATTTAACATTTTTTTAAATTGTGTGATATTTGTAATTTGTATGGTTAAGATAGTGATCTAAGGAAAAGTTAGTTTGATGTAATCATGAATCAACTATGGCTCGATCATAAACTAGTTGGATTCAGCTATATGAATGAATCACTTCTAGTGAAGTCCATTAAACAGAAAATGTGTAAAAGACTGGGGCTTTGGTTCAATGCCAAAGGTAGATCAACGTGACGCAACGAATTTGGATCCAACGTAGATAACCTCTAGTTTTAGAGGTTCCCAAAGGTTAAAACTATTGGATACTGGAGTGAAGTGGTTCCATATGGATATGGAAGATTCGTATACCTCCACCATCAACTAGCTTGAGGTTGAGGCATAGGTGGTGTTGGTGTTCTGTTAGATGGTAGTTTTGATTGGGAATGAAACTAAAGTAGATATTCTAGAAATGTATTTCCTTTGGAGTACTATAGGAGAGAAAAGCAGTATCCAGTTTGAGCAGCCAAAAAAGACGTTATCTAGCGATAAAGGTAAATACAGTGTGAAAAGAGTTTGGTGATTGATCTTAATCAAAAAAGAAAGGGTTAAACAGTTTTGGTGATTGATCTGGGAAAGACATTATGTGGTTATATACTAGCACAATTTGCCTTTACCAATATGAGCAACAGTTGTACATGGCAATTGTATATTTTGATGTTCTAGACATGGTGATAAGATTTCTTGACTTATGAATATAATATTCACTTGTTTGATTATCCCTCGTCATCAGTTGATGAAGCTCAACTGTGCTGCTTACTATTTTTCTGATTTGTCTTATATCCTTCTGGGTTTGTGGGTGGCTGTTGGGGCCTGGGGGTGGGAGAAGATATTTAACTATGTTTTCCAGGTTGTTCTTGTTTACGCTGTTTAAACGCTCATGAGGTGCAAGTGTTAATACCAAGATAAACTACTGTGTGTTATCCTTTTCAAGAAAGACTTAGCACTATAATCACATGTCAAGTCCTTGGTGTTGGTGGATGGATTGCCTTACATTTGTGCATTTGGAGAATCTGGTTAAGCATTAAGAGTTTTGTTTGTTTCTGTTTGTCAGTTTTAACAAATAAATCACTGATGTTGAGTGCCTTTTTGTTGCTCAGCATATGTCCGACTGCACATTAAATGAGTTCTTTTAGTAACTTCTTACTTTAGAATTGTGCACGTATTTGCTCCGTTTTAACTGCAAGTTGTCAAACTCTCCTTCGTGTTATCTCAATTCTCATGATTAACAAGTTATATTTTCTTGTACGTTTTGGAAAATTGTTGACTTATTGTATGATACTTCACACTCATTACTGGCTTTGTTAGCTAGGCAAAAGCATTGGAAGCTGCTTCTGCTAGTGGTTCACTATCTGCAGCAGATCAAGCTGAAATTGAGCAGCTGGAAGACCGGGCCTCTTCATTAAAAAAGGTATTTATAACATATCAAGTTTTGACATCTTACAATTTCGTTGGATTTTTTTTGTTGGTTTTTGGGATGCATGGTGGGGTGGGGGTTGGTGAAGCGAATGTGTGTGCATATTGAACCATGACTGATATTCCTTGATCCATTGTGTAATTTCTTATTCATTAAAGCAATATTGAGGTATACCGCATGTCACATTTCCATTCCTGACACACCCCAAAATATCTTCTTGTACAAACTTTCTGAAGTCTCAATATTTGTCACAACCTCAAATCTGAGCAATGTGACTTTGTAATAACATATGAAAACTTGGTTTCGACATCCTCTGCTTGTTGTACATACTGTATTATTATTAATTTTATTCCTATTACATTAAAATTAGTCAAATCATGTTTCATTTGCTTTATGTCTTGTCTCCCCTAGTGGCTATGAGAAGTCCTCAAATGAAGGTAGAGTTTTATCATACTTGAGTGCATGCCTAAAAGTTTTCTATTATCTTACGGTAGTGAAAAAATCAAATTGCTATTGTGGTCAAGATTTAAAGCATATTCTATTGTTCTTACAAATTGCAGGAGCTTGTAGACAAGAACAAGCATCTCAAGCTTCTGATTGATCAGCTTCGAGATCTTCTTTCTGACCTATGTACATGGCAGAGTCCCTGTTCTACATGACTCTGCTGCTATAACTTCAAGCAGATAAATTAAACCGATGAGGTGTTAGAGATGCCAAAAAAGAAATGTATTCAATCCTAAGAAACTGTTTTATTTTTCCCTTCTTTTGTACAGAAGTTGCTGCTAGATTTAAACAATTGGTCATCGCCGAACCCCTGCAATGATGCTGCTCGCGGTGCTACTGTTGTTTATGTTGAGATGTTCTGTCTGGTCTGGAATGAGCTGAAATTGTTTAGAATATATAATCTGTTTGAGTGGGAAGACTAAAGAGGGAAAAGGAGAAACCTTTTGATCTTAACTAATTATGCGAAATTTGTTTTGTTGTACACTATAATTGTCTCCTTGCAGCTAATTGTGCCTTGGTTTGCTCTGTTAAAGAAGCCCATGAAATTGTTTAGTAGCATTACAAATCTATCATAGAGCTTTGTTCATGAAGCCTCAAAACAAAAAATAATGTTGCAGACCTTATAAATACATCGTATTGTAGATGTCTATTATACTGTTTTTTGGATGAGTTTGAAATCAAATAGACTGGTTGCATGTAGCTTCTTGAAAATCCTTGCAGTGCTGTTTCTAATAATTTGCACACTTTCAGATAAGATGGTCACACTCTTCAACACAGTTATCGGAAATCCCATGATTTGTTTACACATCACAGCCCTAGCAAAATCAGCATTGACACTTGATCACAGCACACAGCCATGTCCACTCTGTGAACTGGCTATACAAAAGTGTATGATTTGGTTCAGATGATAAACAAGATGACTCTGATGAACAGATCAAACACAAATAGAGCCTTCCCTTATCAGTTATCACCAGAACAAACATTACATTTGGGAATCTCTAATTTGTCCTACCACAAGGGATTATACTGGATCAAATTATGGTCAGTAAAGCCATTTTCAGCTTGGAATTGACAAGACATTCTTCTATTGATAAAACTTCAAGATTGAATTAGCACAGCAGATAAACAAGACAAAAAAACTTAAACTCTGTTCAATTTGTCATAAATCTTACCTACCGATATATTGCAGAATGCAACAAAGCATAGGGAAAATGTTCGACTCATTAAACAAATAAAATGGAATACTGG